CGACCAGCTTTCTTGCCGCTCTCTTGCTGCAAGTGTGGTAACGTCCAAAGTGTTATCAGATTGCCAGAACTATGCAATGTTAGTACCACGAGTGAGATCTCAAATTGTTCCCAGGCTTTTAGCTTTCCCTTTCCCTTGTACCTGTGGAGAGAGCCAGTGTGGTGTGCTATTCTGTGTGCTGGACTAGGACTCTAGGCTAGCAGGCTTCAAATCCTCACTTAGCCACAGAACCCAGTGACTTGGGCAAACCACAATCTCTCAGCCTACAAAGATGGCAATGGTGACTCTCCTTGGAAGAAATCTTGCCAAGAAAACTTTGTGATAAGTCAAAGTCAGCTTGAAGGCACATAACAACAACAACATAGTTTTAACCTGCTGTGTTGTTGAACAAGCCATTTCAACTTCACCTCTAAAAGCTTTACTTGCAGGGGGCATGATGGGAACTGAATACATAGAACTAGGAGAGTGTGTTTTTATTATTTAGGAGTCTGTTTGATACTAACATTCCCAGGTGCCCACAGAATGATGGCATACACTCCCTCTTCTTTGTCCGAAGCAACAATTACTGTATTAAATTTTCTGCCACTTCACAAGAAGTTACTTGCTTTATTTACCCAACAGCATGTACAAGCTTTTTCAGGATCAAGTAGGTCACTGGTAATTTTTGTACTCCATTTGACTAGAAATAGAATAATGAAACCACAACTTGAAGAAAACTTTTTCAAAAACCACAAAACCTATCTAATTAAAGAGAATATGTATTGAGAAAACTTGTCTGCCCTAAGTTTGGTAAGAAATTAGCCCAAAAATTACAGAATAAAACTGGGTCGGGGTGGGGGGGATTGGAGCTGAGATAATTAACTTGGAACATGCAAATATACTTGCTGTTTCTTTTTGCAATTTGATGGTAAGGAATCAAAGTGTTTTCAGATTTAGCACTGTTTTTTTAGAGACTTTATTGCCACATCAATCCTGGTTAGATCTACAAATTGATGACATATGATACATGCAACTGATAATTACAAACCTTGTTGTGGACAGGTATAATTGCTCATGCAATTACAAGCTCAGAAAAAGAAAATGAAGCAATGCCTCTTATTCAGTCAACCATTTTTTTGGGGGGGGCATGCTGGAAGCAAGCTCTCAAGTCAGATAGCCTTTTTCACACAGTACTTATTCAGGCTTATCATCATGCATGCTCAAAAAAGGACATCAAAAGTCACTTTAAATGTATGAAAAGCTTTTATCTGGAATGCCTTTTTATAAAGGCTAAGCAGCTTCTGGAGGGAACACCTGAAAAGAGAGAAGTTATGAAGGAAGAGGAAGGCTACACGACATTGGGTTAAAATGCTGGGTAGCTGGCAATGGCCCAGACCCATCTCCTTGTTGTCAGCCACAGCTACACTTATTTCTGCCTTCCGTACTGCAGTCATTTCCTCCTGGCTCCTTCCCATTTCTATATGTGAAGGTCTCATTCATTCACCTATTCATTCAAAGCAGAATCCACATGGGTGTCTAAAATAGTGATATCTTTGCTTTCTGATGAGTCAATGTATACAAAGTTTGTTTCATATACCAAATTATTTAAAACAGGGGTAGGCAACCTAAGGCCTGGGGGCCGGATGCTGCCCCCCGAGGCCTTTGGATCGGCCCAAGGCTGGTCCTGTCGCTGCCGCCCTCACCGCTGATGCCGCCGCCATGGTATTATTGATTATTGTTGTTATTACTTGTTCTTGGGTTTTTCTTGGCAAAATCTCTACAGGGGTTTTACCATGGCTTTTCTGGGGCTGAGAGAGAGTGCATGCATATTTTTTTTAAAAAAAATATTAATATTTATTTATTTATTTATTTATTTATTTATTTTTGGTGCTTCAGCCTCCCAATTGTCTGAGGGACAGCAACCCGGCCCCCGGCTCAAAAAGGTTGCCTACCCCTGATTTAAAATGTGGTGTATAGTATTATCTTCAGGCTATATGTATAAGATATACATGAAGCAGAAATGAATTTCATATTTAGATTTGGGTCCCATCTCCAAGATATCTTATCTCCAAGATATCTCAATATGCAAATATTCCAAAATCCCCCCCCCAAAAAAACCAAACAAACCCAAATGCTTCTGGTGCCAAGTATTTCAGATAAGGAAGACTCAATCTATACTTTACTGTTTTCCAGCTTCAAATCATCAGGTTGTCCCCTTCCATGGGACTTCCAATGTACATT